CTGTTATAATTTTTTTAGTATATTACTTGTGTGGTGTAGAAGAGAATTATCTATGTAGAGATACTGCTTGCAAACCAATGATGGTAAGATGATGTCATGGGGTAGGACTGGATAAGTCTGACTTCTTCCTACTCCATTCAAGCATGTACTAGGTATAAGCAAATTGATAATGGATTAGCATTTGTTGGATATGTGTAAAATTATGTGTGTTGATATATCAACCGTCTTTACATGCTTGAAAGAATAAATAAATCAAATCAAAGCAATCTCTAATACACTAGTAAAGGAAAGTGTCCATTAAGCTAAGAGCACTCTCTGAAGACATACCAGCCAATTACAGTGGAGGTCTAGCATTCATTTCATAATTTCTAGACTGTAAACTTATGTGATGGCGCCTACCTTACAACTTTAACCATCTTTGGTTTACATTCACTCAGCAGGGAAAGTAGCGTCTGCATCGTCCTTCCAGTCTCCACAATATCCTTTAAAGATTGCAGCACACAGGAAGTGGTCACAATAAAGTGGAGGCATAAACAAAAGATTTACAAATATGGTATTTACACAATGCTTGCGCAACAGACATTTGTGTTTCATAGTTTTACATGAACAGATTGTGTCATATTTGATGAACAAACTGAATAAATACAGACACAACAGTAAAATACAGAACAAGTTTAAAATCTGTCAGACTTAATACATTTGCCAACCCCAGAGGCTCATATTTATTCCTTTGAACTGTCTAAGGGCAATGTTACGTTACAAAGCACAAGCAGGTCTGATTTCTGCATCAATGTGATGAGCAACTTCTATGTCAAGCACTTAATTTGCCGATCAGCAAAACATGCATTCCTGTCTGGTTAATATGTCAATAAACAGTATGTCGATATTGCCATGTAAAAACGCCATCGCAGATTTTATCCACATCACCCACCCATAATTTAAAAAAAGAGACTTACCTCAACAATCAAAACATTCTGCAGAAAAAAAGAAGATGCGTTAGTGACGTCTACATCTATCAAAGCTGTGTCATCGACAAACATCACAGGACTAACCTTGCCTGCAAGACTGGACAGCTCATCCTCCCCCATGACTTGGACACTGCTTGTTGACTTGTCATTCTATGGGACACAAACTCAGTGTGGTTACAGTTTGGATGAACTTGGTCCCATCTGTTTTGGAACTTGTCTGAAGATTACCACCTCAAATCTACATTAGATTTTCAAAACATGAGTGCACTGCATACTGAGTCTCCATACTGAGCACTGCAGTGGTCCATTTCAGATTTAAAAAAAATGTTCATTTGTACTTTGCCAAGCCTGTGTCACACATTCAACATCAGCACAAGTGTTTCCTGGAAGTGAAATGAGACAGGGCAGCTTACACAGTAGCTCTTCACCCTAATGAAATCCACTGTCAGTGGGACTGATTTATCACTGTTCTGGTTCAGTGCTTTTATGTAGTCCAGAAGGTCTGCGAAGAACTTGTAGCCCCCTTTTAGCACGCACAGAGCCACAATGTGGTGTCCCCCCATGTCTTGGATTATGTCGCGGGCCAGACGCTCTGTTCTGGACCGAAGAAGACAAAGGAAGGAGAAGCATCATAAATCACAGTACAGTTGTGAATGCAGTACGATTTTATGGACAAGGACACGAAATCCCACTTAAACATAATTGCTTGCAATGCATTTCATTGTACTGAACATTCACCTCTCCCTTCCAAATCCACTTTCAAAGGCAAGGCAAGCTCATTTGTACACACAATTTTCATATACAAAGACAGCTCAAAGTGCTTTACATAATGCAGGCATACATTAAATCAAATTAGGTTTGCATCTAAATGTATATCAAAATAATAAAAAGAACAAAGTTTAAAATAAAGAGGTTTAGGGGGAAAACAATCTCCGTTTTACGAATGGCTTTGGAGAAAAATCTGACAGTGCTAGAGAGTGAGTGTGTCAGATGACAGAAGGTGGTGCTGGTGGATGTTTACCTGTCCATGATGAGTCCATGCGGGATGATCACCTTCTCCAAATCGTTTTCATAATGTCTGGGGACACAGAAAAGGTCCAGCTCATGGCCTTTCTCGTCATCGGCGATCTGTAACAAGAAGGAGAATCCAGATCTCGTCAGCTTTAAACAGCAAAGCGGTTGATGCGCCAAAGACGCATTTAATCAAAGTGAAGCCACGTTCTCCCCTCGCCCCTGGTAACACGGAGCCTCTCAACCACCTGTTTATCTCCGCACACACATGACTGCAAAGAGATTAGAGGAGAACAGACACCAAACGCTCATGTGACAGAGCACAACCGAAACAGAGAAGTACTAATTGGAAAGGTCTTTGCCTGCTGTCTGTCAAAACAGGCCAACAGTACGCGGCGCACAGCCACACCCTGACAAGTGAACAAGTTATTAAAATACCGAACCCCGGATAAGCCTGAAGCTAACTCGCCTGCAGATAGGAGGCCATGTTATCCGCGGCCGTGTGTTCGGTTCAGTCGCAGTGAAACATCTGAGGAGTCATGCTCGGGTCCTGAGCGTTGACCGGAGGTTGGATGGGCGGGCGGCTGCTGCTGGCACGATCAGCACATGCAACGCTCCTTTGCCGGGGTTTAAACCCTTACGCCTTCGTGCCCTTACGTCAGAATCCAGTTTACCTTCCCAGTAATCCGATTTACCAGAGACAACCTGAGCCTAAAGTCTGCTATAAAGTAGCGTTTACCACTGCTACGCCATTTTTGGGCAAGTGTGAAGGCGATTTATTGCCAACGATTAGGAGGAGCTGCAGGTGACGCAGTTTGAAGTGATGACTGAGCCGCCTCTCCTCAGTCAAAGCGCTGATCCCTGGATGGGTTTTGATAAAAGATAACTTAAGATCCCCCCTCACTGTTGTCAAAATAATAAATAGATCTGATCTTTTCTTTATGATGTGATTCTCTGTCAGCATGGTATGAGGCATGCGCAGTCTGTTTTTTAATCGTTTCGTCCTGGGTACTTTATACACAGCACATTTTACCTCAGTCTATTTAGTAACTGCCATGGAGCTTTCAGTCATATCAGCAGATGGCGTTTGCCCAGTGGTTGCAAAAATGTAGAAATTAAAATTTTCCTGAGCACTCTGAGGACTTCTTAAGAACACCTCACTTACATCAACTTAAATTACAGTTATGGTTTGGAAATACTGCTACTAAATTATGGTCATGCCTGCAGTGTTTGTGTAGCAGCTTTCATGCCAAGATGCAGCTACAAGTAAAGCAAGCATGTGAACTACTGCTACTGCATCCTGAAAGAGATGTTAAGTCTCTGTGAAACAGTCTATTATACAACAATTTACCACAGTACGTTGGAACAGTGTTTACATTTAGAAAACCGCAGGCACAATGACAACTGCAAAACAACCAACTTTTAATATGATCTCAATTTAATGAGTGATGCAGGAACAAATTTTTCTCCATCTTACAAAAAGGCAACACCAGGTGTTGTACACCAGGAGCATGAAAACTACGAAAACAGAGTGAACATGTTTTCATAGCTCTGACCATGGAAGAAGCAAACATCTCTGTATGATAAGAACAGTCCTTATGAATGCCACCTGTGACTGTGAGGCCATATCTCAGATGACACCATTCCCCATATAGAGCCCTACTTTTAGCCTGAGACCCACATACAGAGCTGTGACTGTGTGCAAAAAGTAGAACACCAACCAGATAAAGACAGTGTGATCTGAGAAAAGACCTTACAGAAAGAACTCATTTTTTCTTCTTCTCATCTTTCTTGGCTCCATCTTTCTCCTTCTCTTTGTCTTTGTCATCTTTTTTCTCCTTGTCATCCTTCTTCTCTTTCTTGCTTTCCTCCTTTTCTTGTCCTTCCTTCTTTTCTGCATCTCGGTTGGAAATCTTGTTGTTGATCAGGTTGTGCAGAGCAACCACAGAGCGTATGAGCGAGGCCAGGTAGACCACCAGCATCTGGTCGTTGGTCTTCAAATAGAAAGCTTTTGTGAATTCCTGTAAAGAAAAAGTATAGACAATTCAGCAGCACATAAAGTCATCCAGCAGTACAAACATACCAGGTCATACTGTCAGCATTTGAACACAAACGTGAATTAGTTTGCCCTCCAGTGAACAAAACAAGAAGCTGCTGCTCAGGTACAGACTAGGGGTGAGCCGATCCGATATTAAGTATCGATATTAGTCCGATATTGGCCAAAATCTGTGGATCGGATATCGCAAAGAGAGGGGCGTATAATCCGATCCGATACACTACGGAGATTTTGTTTTAAACTATCATATGACTGCTTTACGAGACATGAGCGACGTGTTGTAAAGCGAGACGTCACATGAACAGTAGCTTCAACGTGATCGACAGGCATGAGTGAGACCGATCAGCGTTACCATGTCGGCTGTGTGGAGTTATTTTAAACTCAGCGAAGAAGACAAAAGCAAAGCTGAATGCAGTTTATGCAACGTGAGGGTTTCGAGGGGTGGCAGCAGCGCTGGAAACTTTAACACCACCAACTTGATTAAACACTTGCAAAAACATCATGGAAAGCAGTATGCTGAATTTATACACGCAACTAATGCCAAGAAGCGTGTCCCGCAGCAACAAACATTGCAGGAAACAATTCAGAAGCGTGAGATTACATTTAATGTTAAGTTATTGTTATTTAAGTTATGGTTATATCCAGTGTTTGATGCTGGAATTATTATTCTTTCAAACCTAAGTATTTAGAGAATAACAAACGTTTACACAAAGGTGCACCTAAAATTTTACTTGAATGTTTGAATTGTGCTGACTAGTCAAAAGTGCTGCTAAAAGTTCTCGTTTGAAGAATTGAAATAAAAATTAAGCAGCAGTGTTGCACAACTCATGGTTGTGGGCGATGTATTTCTTCATTTAGGAGAGTAGAATATTTGACAAATGTGTTACTAAGCAATTGTTTAACAGAGGGGAAAAATATCATTTTGAATCGGTATCGGCAGATACTCAAAATTGGGGTATCGGTATCGGACATGGAAAAGTGGTATCGTGCCACCCCTAGTACAGACGCAAGCTAAAGGCAGAATATTTCTTTTCAGCTGAAGTTTGTTTGTTTGTTTTATATTTATTTCATTTTGTATGCTAAGTCAAATCCAAAATTCCCAACCTCTTCAAATGTATTTGATTCACCACAAGTCAATGGTGCAACTTTAAGTTTGTTTATAAAAAAAAAAAAAAAGCTCTCAATTCAAACCATTATGTAAATTAACTAAAAAACATTTTTTTGTGAAACAGATGCTGCTTAATATCACATAAAATCTGGTTTGCTGCAATTCAACACACCCACTTCTCTAAAATTTGTTCTGTAAAAACACACTAGATACACCTCAAATACAAACACCTTACCAATAAGTTTACATCTGGCAGCAGGTTGAAGACATCCTGCAGCTGGTAGATGATCTGGTGGTTGATGGGAAGTTTGCCTGCTGCCACTCTCTCTAGGTAAGAGCGGATGTCCAACAGCTTTGAGTTGAGCCCCTTTAGGCCATGAACCTGGTTCGTGATGCGTTGCGACAAAGTGCCAACTGTAGTATCTTTGATATCTCTGTAGTCAGGACAGAACAGACGAGAGCTGAGTATGTACACGGCTCTGCTTATTTGTGTTTGTACTGGAGTGATTATAGCAGTAGCAGTGTTGCATCATTTTTGCTCTGCAGTCACAGTTATTGTGGTAGTGTGTGTGGCTGTAATGTACAAGAATCCCAGGTCTGGGTAGTACCTGAGCAGGTGCTCCACTCCCACTTCCTCTGCTTCCTCAGCTCCAATCTCACTCGTGACATGCTCGAATGTCTTGGACGTCGGAGTGCCGTCCTATAAAGCAGAGGTGCAAATTGGTGAGGGTCCACAAGGGCGACAACATTTTTCTCACCCAAAAACAAAGAAAACAAACCAAGCACGACTCCCAGGGATCTTACAAATATGAGACATGACAGGACAAGTTATTAAGATGAGGGCAGGGCTTCATGCTAACATTTATTTGTTGGAGAACTGGTGTCCCTAAATAAAAACAATTAGAGGCAGAGTTATTTATCCAACATGAACTGAGTACTGAATTAGCTTTTTTAAAATCTAATTCTTTTTAGCCCTTTCACTGGACTCATGGATTTACTGTTCAACTTATGAAATCTACCTGAACTATAAAAACAACTCAAAATCTATATGTTGAGATGAGAGTTTTCAGCGGTAGGCTAAACCTTCAGTAGCACATCCCCAAAAATACTCAGTGTACACAGTAACAAGAAATGTATAGTAAAATGCAGCTGAAAATATCATTCATGTATTTACATATTAAAACATTAATAGCCTGATTTAGAACTAAACGTTGATCTGCTTGATTTATTGACATGGTATAAATAACATTTTAACTGGAAACTAATTATGTCATTTCTATTCATTCAGAAGCAGACAGAAGAAAATCTATCACAAACAGATTCCAAACACATCTGTAAAAAGTGGCATCCTCAGTGCAGTCCCATGATTCACTTACATCATGTATCTCCTCCACAGAGATATATGCTTCTGTTGGTAGACCAAGATCTTTGGGCTTCACATCTATAATGACTAACACCTGGCAAGACAAAAGATAAATTTCACATCAGAACTAGAACTAGTTAACCTAGTAGAACTAGGTGTTTTTGACACCTTCACATTAAGCATGAAAGGAAAAAAAAGCAAAGCAGTTACATACCGAGTTGGTACAGTACTGCTTGATAAGCTCATTGATGGCAATGTCATTCTTATGTAATTTGGGTCCTGTGTGGTACCATCCAACTATTCTTTCTCTGGCTGAAAACCATGGGAGACTGTTATTCACAGGTATAAAACCAGGGTAACACAGTAATGTAAAATATAAATTACTTACCATTAACTTTCTTGAACATGCCATACATGTTCTCCAGGTAGTCATGGTCCAGGAACCACACTGAATCATCTCTGTCATCCTCATCAAATGGCACTGGAAACAAACATTGACAAGAACTTTTATTAAAAAACAAATTGACAGAATTCTTGAGAATAATATTGCTTCACATTGTGTGGTAGCAGTGACTTCGCAGTCTAATGCTGTGTAATGCATCTTTAAATATCCTAAAGGAAACCTCCACTGAATATGATCAGCTCAGTCGCTCAGTCCTATAATGTCATCTGGATGATCTCTATTTAGGAATGAACAGTGTGAACTTATAACGGAAAGTGTGCATTAAAAACTGGGGCACCAGATGTTTAGCAGACAGCGAGGGTCAAATGAAAGCTAACACTGAACTGAACTATGAGAAGTGAAGAGTTCAGATTTTTAAGAGCTTAAACTCAGCCTAAACTCTGATTCTATGTGCCATCATGCTTCTATTTTCTACCTTTTTCCTGCTCTTTACCTAATGTTTCTCTGAAGTTCCCCAAATGCTGTCACCATGACACTTACCTGCAAAACTATTTGAGACATCAAGAACTTTTTTATGCCATGATCCCAGTAGGACACCAACCACTCGTTTCTGATTGCCAACTTTTCCTATTCTGTAGATTGAACAGTCAAATGAACAGAAATCAACTTGTCATTTTACCATTCTTTTATTATACTTGATCTTCATGACTCCAACATACAGACACGTTAGCTAGCTTGCTATTATAAGTTAAGCTAATGACCAAATCGTACTGTTTTCAATCACCAATGAAATGAATGTGAAGCTCGTGTCATAAGAAAATACACATATTGAGTTCAGCTACTAATCAATCATACTGTGTTACTGATTAATTTAACAGTTTGACACACATGATTCGTTAACATAAACATATTACAGGGATTTCCTTATCTGGTTATGACATTCGAGCTAATAAATCGTATCTTGTTGTCTGACACTAACGTCAGGACAGAGGTGGGAAAGAGGACTTTTGTATGTACTCTGCTCCAGCCACCTGGAACAGTATACAAAATAACATTAACTTAGTTGATTTGGTAAAAAAAAAAAAAAAAAAAAAAGTCTGTTGTAACTGCGCTGATGAACAAGTCATTCGGTCTATTCCTGTTATTATTCCTGTTTCTGTTTTATTCGTGTCTGTTTATAACTAGCTCATTGAGTTACACTGTTTCTATTTAATAACGTTGTCTATTTTATGTGCCGCCCTCTTGGCCAGGGCACCATTTAAAAAACCTCACTGTAGTAAAATATAGGTTAAATACAAATAACCGAATAAATAAAAATAATTAACGCTTCCATCAGTTAGTGAGCTAAACTGATTTCAGTGAGCTAACTAGCCTATAGTCACTTTCAACGGGGCTCTGACTCAGCAGAGCAAAGCAGAGCTAAGCTAAGCATTAAGATTAGCTAAGCATTAGCTTAGCAGCACCGTTACGGTTCTAGATATTTTAACTATCAACACTGGTAAAGACATATCACAAATACTAAAGTTACTAACCTATTAAAATGATCAACCACGCTGAGCAAAACCAAGGGATGAACGACCACATTTTCCACCGCTAACTCCGGCATCTTTGCAATGAAGATAAACGGCGTACAACCAACATTCACACACAACGATAGATACGCCACACTTCCGCTTGCGTCTGACGTAACTTCCGTTGCCCTTGGCAGCAGAGACGCGCACAGGAGGACTAAAAGTTGTACCAGCCATCCGGTCACAGACAAAATGGTATGAACTGAACACCTAACCTTATTATTATAGTTATTTCAGCAAAAACATGTAGTTACCTTACTGAAACATTGCTAACAGTTAAGTTGGGTGTTATCAAATCAACTATCATTAATGTTGCTATTTATTACTGCTTTTTTAGCCAGTCATTTTATGAGGGGGTGTTTTATTAAATGTACGTAATTTCCTATGTCCTGCAGGGTGAAGCTGAGGAAACACTCAAGAGGATCGACACGCATAAAGGTGTGATTGGAACAATAGTTGTCAATGCAGAAGGTAACCTTAAGCCCAAAAGCATGCAAATCCAGCACAATTTGATCCAGTGCAAAATGTTTAAAATACAATCTTGGCTGTAAACACTGCTGTTTTGACTTTCCAGGTATTCCCATCAGATCATCTTTGGATAACTCCACTAGTGTTCAGTATGCAGGACTTCTTCGCCACCTCACAACGATGGCCAGGAGCACAGTCAGGGATATCGATCCTCAGAATGACCTGATCTGCCTCCGCATGCGCTCTAAGAAACACGAGATCATGGTTGCACCAGGTGAATATGTAGTAGTCACACAGGTATCATTGACCAAATGATGACAACTGAAACACACATTCAACATTAGGTGAGAGAGAAACAGTATTTCGATTTTTCTGTATGTCTTGCACATATAGTGACTTGACAATAAAAATCTTTGATCTTGATTTCACCTAACAGCTGTACAAGAGGATCACTTTTTGTATGAACACTGCTGTTTTCACTGGATTTATATACCATGTCTTCACTTCTTTATGTCTGTGCAGAGAACAACTTTCTGCTGATAATCATCCAGAACCTATGTGAATAGCTGCCGGACATTTCCATGAGAATCGGCCTTTGGTTTGTCACATGGTGTTGCTTTATCAGAGCAAAATGTCTATTTTCCACTGTTTTGTTGCTTCATGAAAGAAATGCTTCATCTTTTTCTACTTGGAACATAAGTATTTTGCCCTAATCTACATAATAGTTTGTTTTACTTTATGTACTTCTTTTATATCTGTGTTGATGTCAAATGAGTCTGTGAAGTAAAGCTGGTGGTCATTCTACAGTTCTCAGTAAATCCTGCTTGTTTATTCTGTTAACAATAGCAAACATTATGTAATCATTTTTATCCAGTGGCAGAAGAAAGAGTTTAGATCACAGTGTAAAATTACTCTGTAAAATTAAAGTAGTCTTGCATTACAAATATTACTTATGTATTGTCAGAAAAATATACTATGTTAGATTTTATGCACTTAAGTATAAGCAGCATATTCATGCTTTAATAATTAAAGTGTTGTGCTTGACTTGACTCATTCACCCTACTTTTGATTTTGTTGTGCCTGTTGGGGCCCGGGCAACTTACCCGGTTATCTTAGAGTTTGGTGAACTCGTGTAATTCCCATCTTAGATCCACACAACTTAGCCTGACTAGAGCTTTCACCTGTTTTGGTGTGCAGAGCCTTTAATTTGTAAAGTTTGAAATTCTCCTCATGCATTCCTTTATTTAAATCTAATTTTCCAAACCAAAGAAAACATGGCTGTTCCCTTCAGAAACTTTCCTCAGAATACCTGTTAATTCCAACCATAGAGCTGATATGGAAAGTGATGAGAATTAAAAAACGGTTAATACTGTAATACTGCCCGCAGAAGTAGCTTTGTGCTCCTTCAGAACCCATGTCCTTTAGAGAATTACCATTATAAATTCAGCCATTATAATTAATAATGACACAATTTGTAGCTAGGAAATATTTTTTTACATTTTTCATTTGCCAATCACAGGGTTCAAGATCAGAGAAACCGATTGGTAATTATTCAAAATCAAGTCTTAGAAGACCCAGGTGTAAATATTCATGAATTTTGCTGCACACAATCAAGTTGTTGTTTATCGTAGCCTGGGTAAATGAAAACACGGATGACTGTAAAATATTTATCAGAGGTGAAAACGTTCTCCCCAGCTATGCAACTATCACAAGGAAGACATTTTTACAAATATTTTAATGTAAATTTCCATCAGGATGTACATCAATATACATTGAATAAATAATTCATTGAAATTATACAGCCCTAATAATACATTACATAACAACTGATGGAAGAACAACTGAACATGTGGTGCAGGGAGGTCATGTGATTAGGGAAGATTGCTACTGCAGTGCTTGTAGAAAAGGGTTCCTGGAATTTCAATATTTAAAGGTGAAGAGGCAGAAATGATGCATTTTTGACACTGATTTATCATTTTTGACAAAGATTTATAATAAACATAAATGTCATTCAAAGACCACAGAATCGTAGCATCCTTCTGGTGTTTACCTCATCCATAAAATTAGTTCCAAGTACTCAAAGAGCATCAAGAGAAAAGATATTGTTTAATGAGTTTTGAGATAGTCTTGAAATGGAATTAAATAATAATAATTTGGCTTTTACATTTCATTAACAAAGGTATTTAAACTTATTTTCTCAAAATAATAAGATAAAAATATCACCTCCAGGTAGGTCGTCTCACTCAAGTGATTCCAATTATCTGTCAACATATGTAGAATTTTGCAAAATACCTTCAAAAACCATTTTTCCTCTTCAAGTTTTGTCATGTACACAAACTCTGGGATGAACCAGCTGAACAGTGGTCAGGACAACATGACGATGCTCCAAGACAAAGACTAACATTTGCCACAGTGTCTTCTATCGCCATTTCACCTTTGCCCACTCGCAAACATTATGACATCACATAATATTTTTCAAATACAGCTGTCATGACTTCCTTCATTTTCTAAACATTTTTATTCTGACCAGCAGTAATTCAAACAAAACTTATGGCTTTCCACAAGAAATGGTTAAAACTATAAAACATATAAAATTCTTCATCTATCACAACTGACATTGCCAACGAAAAATGTTATTAAACCTCAAAAAACTTGATCAATATCATTTGCCATTATATAGATAGTATCTTAGATGCTTCCGATCATCTTTAAAACTTTTACCAACACACAAACTGCTTCATCTGTCAGACACAGTATTCAGTAAGACACTACAACATTATACCACACAGAGGACGGTCAAGTATTTCCTCCAGTTCCATTTCAAGTGCATCCTATCAAGTTTAAGGCCTGAGGTGTGCTTTGATTCCTTGATTTGATTTTCATCCTCTGAGCTCTAACCAAGTGACCTCTGCACACAACACTTGGACTTTCTTGTTTCAGTCCAGAGAGGCTACAGATTTGTGCCAAGTGATAAATCACATTACTGTGGATCAGCACAGTCAGAAATTGATATGAGTCAAACAGTAGAAAGTCCTTAAAGCCAAGTCAGGGACTAGTGGGAGTGTTTAGCGTTACAACGATGCTGTTTCACCTACACAGTGTTGTTACAGTCGACAGGCAGAATGAGAGAGAGAGAGAGAGAGAATGCCCAGACTATATGATCACCATGGATTGATGTTACCGTGGCAAACATGGCAGGTAATCAACTGAATCAGTTGGACTGGCTCCTGCATGTGCTTCAAGTGCAGACAGCGGTCTGGCGCCACTTTGTCCTGTTCTTGTTATTGTTCCTTCACTGTATCAGAAGTGTGTCTGTCATGGAGTCGGTGTGAGAGGTCACCTCGGCGTGTGCACGTTGATTTGCCCCCGTCCCCAGTGGATGTTAGGGAGTGTCAAACACCTCCTGAAGTGCTCAAGCTGGGCCTGCAGTCTCTCTCTCTCTTCTCTCACTTTCTGCCTCTGACTCACCAGCTCCTGACAAATGAAGGACAGACACAGCTCTCATTACAAAACGACTTTGTGCACCAAGATGCATCACTCGCAGACAGCAATACACACACAGCACAGAAAAACTGACAATAAAATATGGTAGTACACAGTTCTGCAAGAAACAAAGGGACAGGTGTGAAGATACTTACCCCCATAGTGAGAGAGAGCTGCTCTGCAGTTCTGGTCAGATTATAGTTCTGTGCTTCAAGTATTTTACAGTGACTGTGAAGAACCTGCCTCTCCATACTCCATTCTGCACAGACAGAAATACACAAACCACAAAATGTGCATTTTAGCATCTCCTTAAGTTAGTCTCCAAGGTGTAACTAACAAAGTACATATCTAGCACACATAGCCTCTGCACATCTTACTAGAAATGCTTGTTATGCATTTATGCTAAAAAAAACAACAACAAATATTATCCAATATGTTCTCTGTTTTTAACTGCCAACATGTGTCCGCCTCAGCATCAGTCAGGCCTCATTTTGTATAATGTTTTTATAATGGCAATAAAATAGTGTTTCTCTTGGTGGAAATATGCGTTAGATTACCAACTGTGTACATTAAAATAATTCAAAAACAAATTCAAAAATTTCTTAAATGATGTAACAGTCGGTCAGAGAAACCTTTAAGCTCTCTGAGACAAATTTGCCAATTTAAGGCTGTGTACATAAAGGTGCCTTGACACTGACTCACCATCCACATGCTCCTGGTAGGCCTCAAAAATAGCTTCAATACCCTGCCACTTCCTCGGCGTTTCCTCTGACACCTCATCCTCCTCGTTCTCCTCCTCTTGACCAGATTCTTCATCATCCTCATCAGACAGGTTTTCCTGTGGGGCTGCAGTGTCCCGACTGGCTACAGGGGAAATGAAGTGATGGCCGTTTATGTGCCTACGCTGAGGGGCATGATTAAGGCTTGAGCTTTTCAGGTGAGAGATGTTGTGGGGCAGCGAGCGGTCGGCTTTCATGCTAGCCTCAGGGACACAATTTGAGATGCCTTAGGAGTAAAAAGTGAGACAATAAGATGATGTCAGTCTTTGTAGCCATTTTTATAACCTCAAAAGAAGTCAATATACTGAATATTTAACAACAGACGTTTTAAGATGGTGCATGTAGACACCACTAGATGGCAGACTGCTGTCATTTTACAATTCACAATCAAGCCTCATGCACTGATGGGAGTCAGTGGCTAACCTTTATTCTGCAGTGTGTTGTGTGTGGTCTGCAGCACGGCCTGATGGAAATGCTGAGCAAAGGCCTCAGGTGTGAACCTCTCCCAGGACCAATTCCGTCCATTCTGCACTGGACTAGGCTCCTTTTCCTGAGCACCGTTCTGGAGGCCCTGGGGCTTCCTGTTTGGCTGAGCTGCCGCAAATTCAGCCTTTTCATGATGGGTAGCCAAAGATGGAGGGATGTGCACCACCTGGGAGTCCATGGAGGCTTTGAATGCGTCATTATGGAAATGCTTATGTTTGTGTAAGTAAGGCCGGGAGGGGCTGGGAGTGTCTGTATTCAGATGTCCATTTGACTGACAAGGCAGAAGGCCTGAGGAGGAGTCACCTAAAAACAAAGGTTCACAGGTCTTTAGAAAGTTTTTCTTTTTTACATGCATGCATGCTGTAAACTAGGGCTGAGCATTTTAAGCTAAAATACTATTTGATATTCGTTGGGAGCTGTTTGACAATTATTCGAAGATCAAGATTAATAGATAAAACAATAGTCAAATTAAATATTTAATTTTTCTAAATTGAATGACTATTCAAATATTTGAAAGTCATTGCTCATCCCTACTGTAAACAGGTGTGTGCCTCACCAGCTGAGGCAGCAGGCGGACTGCTACAAAAAGGCAAAGGATTATATCTGAGAGTGTTTAATGTCACATTCTTCCTCTGAATAGCCCTCAGCAGCTCCTCTGTTCTCTCTTTATCTGCAGAGAAAAAGGCAGAATGAGAATACCAGTCCTTCATATATGAAAACAGGAGAACTTCAAGAATTGACTGGTGCCAATTTTGTCCAGTGTAACACAATCATGAATAGGCTATAACTAGAATAATAAAGATTAATGATGGCTCATCATTTTCAGTTTTGACCACTTTTTACCTAAAAATATTAAGAGGTGCAAGCAGATTGGTAAATACAGATTGTCACCCAGATCTGACGTCCCTGTTCATCCAGCAGCTGATTATCACATTAGTTTGCTATCAGAAGTGATGCTGCCAATATGAGAAACTTGAAAAAGTAGTGCTTGTTGTAGTTACTGTATTCCTGGCATATATTACAAAAACTCTCCCCCATATAGTGAATATATGCATATTGTTTATAGAATATTTCAAAATCTATCTAAATATTTCATTTTGCACATTCTAAATTCCTACATCTACATTTCTACATTAAAATGCACTGGTTTTCTTTAGCTTTTAATTTCAACTTAGACAATACTTTGACTGAATGAAATCTACCCTTTTGAGGAAACATAACTTCCTCTTCAGATGCTGCCTAACTTTATTTTCCTCTCACCCCTCCTACATTCTTGGTAGACACCAAAACTGAGAGACTGAATTTCTTTTTTTTCACAGGGAATCGCCAGAAAAACTGAGAAGAGTAACAGGTAGGATGTGTGTTACCTCTCCTCTGCTGCGGGCTGACATGGGACAGGTTGAACATGTGAAGGAAGTCTTTCTTCTCCTTCAGTTCGGGGGTGCTGTCCATCTGCTCAGCAGAGTATGGAGTACTTAAGGGAGCTGTAGGCGTTGAAGGTGAAGAGGCCTTTCTCTTGCCCTGTATGGCCGGTGGAGAGAGGCTGCGCTCTCTCATCATCCGCCTCCTCTTCCTCCTCTTCTGCGCCACAAATTCATCATGATGGGCCAGCGTTGTGAGACCACACAAGTGCAGAAAGTCCACTTTCTTTGGGGAGACAATTCAGGGAGCTAAGTATCATTTAAAAAACAATTCAAACTTCAAACCTGTGATGAATGCATGTTTGAGTCTCTATTTTTGCACCTCAAAAGATGTGTCTAGTTTGAGTGGGGGCTGTTGTGTCACTCTCCTCAAATGGGCCTTCACCTCCTCCTCGTCGCTCTCATCATATGACTCGTCCAGGTCATAATAATAACCTGGTGAGAGCAGAGCAAGCCAGAAATGATCTTTCATCATAAAAACTGCAGGACTATGAGCAAGTTTATAATGGCACATACAACCACCCCCCATATCCCCTGTCCCCCCCGTTCCACCCATATCACCCTCATCATCCTGCTCACCTCCATCTCTGGCCTCCCTCCTCCTCTTCTCCTCCAGGTCAAGCTTGCTGAGCAGCTGGCGGTGCTGTTGGAGAACCTCGTCATACACCAGCACGCTGTTGGGTGCCTGACTCTGTCGCTCCCTCACCGGAGATGGTGAGTCTGCCTGGCACTGCCCTCCAAGGTCAGTGCAGGTACTAGGGATAGACAGAGGCACGCAGGACTTCTGTTGGAGGTTACTGATGAGATGCCGGTGGTAGAAGCTCTGGATGGCTCTGTCCTGCTCAGCCTTGTTCCAGGGCTCCTGTAAGCTAGTTCCCCTCAGTGAAGGGTGCCTCTCTGGGCCTTCTACCCTCCTTCTGCCTCCTTCTTCCAGCTTCTCCCCCCAGCTCAGCAGGGGTCTGTCAGCGCGAGTCAGTCCTGGAGGTGGGCGACTTGGTGGAGTAGGAGGGTTTAATTTTCGACGGGAATCTGTCGGCGGGTCAACTAGGGAAGCTGGGTTCCACAGTGTAGTTGGAGGAGCAGGAGGATGGTGGGGACCTTTTGGAGAGATAAGGGGAGGTGGAGCACCAAGAGGCGGGGGTACATCCTTACTGCCTAGGTTATGATGGACTGAACCGGTTCTGTTTAGGAACATAACAAGCAAAATACAAATCCATTTAGATTCACAGTCTACCAACACTGTGACACTGCAATGCAAGTTAAATTTTTATTTAATAGTTTATTTGACCGGGGCTGTGGACAGCCACTGACTGCTCCAGAATTAGCTATAGAGATAAATTTCATCTGTTGTATAACACAATCACCCCTTGAGGATGGTCTGGTTTGCCTTGTGTTATCGGAGCACAATGACACAAATTCTTTCAAGGGTGATGAAGCAAGATTGTTGACAATTTTATACAGTAAACAATAAGAAGTATAATTAATGAAATTATCAAATGTGAGAGAGTTACATTTTTTAATGATGTAACAGTGATAATGTCTAATTGGTTTTTATGAAGTATTTTTAATGCTCTTTTATATAGACTATGTAAAGGTCTCAAGATGGATTTTCCTACTTGCGACCATGACGTAATACTATATGAGAAATGATAAATTAAATCACTCTCTAAATCTAATTTATCTGACATTCTTACCTGTGGCTGTCTCTCCTTGGCTCCATTCCTTTCCCAGGTGAACTGAGGCCCAGTTCCAGTGGACCCTCCCTGTCCTGCCCTTGCCCTCGTTGTCGTGTTAACCATGCCTCGTCGCCTGTCCTCTGAGTCATTATGGTCGCTGCCAGAGCTCCATGGATCCCCCCAGCAGTGGCAGCAGCAGCAGCAGCATGATGCTTCCCCAGGTGAGAAGGTACCAGGCTGGGCACCGGGTGTGGGATAGAGGCCCTGGAGGAGTGAAGGCCAGGCTGCAGGAGCAGAGGCTTAGGTGCTGGGAAACCTGGATGCTCTGAATCCTTGGGTTTGTCTGGAAAAACAGCAGAAACCATTAACTTTTTCTAGAGCATGTTTTGTAGACAGTCGTATGCCTGTGTAGACTTTTAGATGTACAGGAGAAAATGTTTGACCTTTCTACAATATTCCAAGATTTATTCAGCCATCACTCAACATCTTGTACTGCAGTTTTGACAAATGGTTGACAAGATGATGGCTCACCAATAAAATATTGAATGAATAATGAAGGAAACCCAGCAGAATTGACTGTGCCACATTTGAAGTGTAAAAGTGGAGAAGAAGAAACTCAGACTAAGTATGTAATGTTTATGAAAACCCATGATGCAAACAAAACAGTATATATAAAAAAAAACTTTAATATAATGAGATACTCTGTTTTATTTTTAAGCTTGCAGCATGTTCAAATCATCTGAAATAATGTTAATATTAAATATCAAAACATCAATGCTGCCTTTCTCAGAAAGCAAAAAGATCTATAGTTTACAATAGTTTGAATATAAACTTGGTACAAGAAAGTCACACTATCCAATATTCAGAATGAACTATCTCACATGTAGGATATTTCATATATTGACTCCAGGGGATGGGGTCAGTGTAACCAGAACTGGTCACCACTTCGAAAACATCAATGTCCTGTACAAATTTCACAACAGTCTGCCTTAGATTAGCTTGTCAGTTATCATCTGCAAGGTTGACATTTTGACCTGAGGGCTGAAACTTCTGAAGAGAATAAAATTGTGTGCTAATTTACTTGTCAATCTGCCTGTTAATTTTTGATATTTCATGTATACAAATGGAAATTTTAGCATGATGTTTGCACTAGAGAAGAGGTCAGGAGGTCAGTAAAATCATTACAAACTGTCCTTTGGGGACTATAAATATCCATAAGCAATTTCATGTCAGTCTGCCCAGTACAAGATATTATGGCTCTGGACACATCTTTTGCCCAGAACTGCCATCATGGTAGCAGGACAAATGGATTATGATTTACAACAATTTAAATTTATTACAGCTGAAACATCAGCTGTTTCTTCTGCTTAACCCTTTGTTTACTTATACCTTATTTGGGTAACTCAACAGAAAGTAGGTAGTGAAGATCTGGATATCTGACGATGTGCTCTATGTGCACAGAACATGTGTAATGTTTGGTGTGTGTGTGTGTGTGTGTGTTTGTGTGAAGGTACCCAGTCTGTTTGGGATCAGCCTCTCCCCTGGCCTGACCCTGTCCTCTGGTGGTGCCCTTCGAGCCTGCAGCTCAGCCAGGTAGTGGCTCTCCACTGCTCTGACCATCTGCTGCTGTCTCTCTCTCTGCCTCTCCTTCTGTCTGTCCAGCTCTCTCTCCCGCTCTCTCTCCCTTTCGTCCTCCCGCTCTCTCTCCCTCTCTCGCTCCAGCCCTGCCTCGCGCTCCCTCTCTTTCTCTCGCTCTCGCTCTTGCTCTCTCTCTCGCTGGCGGAGCTCGTTCTCCATCTGTAGCCTGTGAGGGAGGTTGGCAAGTATGCACATATACACAGGCCACACACATACACACACACACACACAGGGGGAGAAGGTGAGAGATGCAACACCCAACATGAAGCAGATATTAACCACACACTGGTGGACCTCACACAAACATACACACTCACAGAAACACACAAATATGCACACACATACTCTACTTACCATGAGGAAAATAATCCATACACAGCATGACTGAGCAAGAGCAGATGAACACTTAATAGGTATCCACAGGAAAAGGACACATACCCTCCCACACACACACACACAGGCACTCACAAAACACATTTACCAGCAATCAATAGCACACAAACAAAACTATAAGATTTGCAGGAGCCATTACAGACCCAGATGATAAATACCATCCATTTCAAACAAACATTTCCCCTGTGCATTATGTCACAGGGAAACAATGTGCATTGTCAAACTGAGAAAGGAGGAGAAAGTACTGAAAGAAAATGGAGAGCAGGGATAAAAAACACTTCCTTATGTGCCTGCAGGGGTTTTATGTATATACTGGCTTGCATATGCATGTGTATTCAGTGTGTGTGCATGTGTGAAGGGCAGTGTGTGTGATGAGTGTATAGTAGGCACAGCGGGGTGTGTGCTAAAAATATCACATACTCAGCAACCTGTGCCTATCCTGCAGAGAGAGATTACACAGCCCTACAGACAAGAGGAGAGAGTACTAAACAACGACTGAACTAATGAAAGAAAAAAAAAACTGTGTGCATGCATGTACAAGTGTGTTACCTCTCAGCCAGTACTGTGTGGTTCAGTTCCCCAGGGTAGCGGCTTCCAGACAGGTGCAAGTGGAGGGCAGAAGGGTGGAGAGGAGGGAAGGTGCCCCCTGCAGGCACAGAGTAGAACTGTGACCTCAGCGCGGAAAGACACAGGGGCTCCTCTATCCTGTGCCAGACAGACAGAGGCAAACCGCTCAGACTATATCTGCACAAGCCAGGTGTGGAAAAGACAGAAGATTATCTGATATAAAAAAGGAACATCACAGCTGTGACAGTGATTGGATGATGCAAGTATGAAGGTAACATATGATATATACAGTAACAAGCAGGTGCAGAAGTTATTGTACAGGTTAGTAGGTTAAGGCTGGAGTGAAAAGGAGTATTTATTTCATGTAATTTATGTTGTGCCATTGTGTTCAGTCATGTGAAAGAATGGTGTGTTTGGCATAGGTAGTGTCACCTTGGTAAGTGCTCTTAAAAACCAGTTAGATTAAAAACACTGCATGTATTCAGTTAAATTCAATTCAGTTTTATTTACCAAATCACAACTAAAGTAATCTCAGGACACTTTACAAAGTAATGTCTAGAGCTTACTGCTATTAATATTATTATTATTATTATTATGTATCTGCTTGTTCCAGATCTACATTTAAATGTCAGTCCAATGGGAATGAAGATTGGAAGGTAGCTGTTACCTTGGTAAGGACAGTGAGTGGTGCAGGTAGGCAGGATGATAGTAGGCAGCAGCAGCAGCAGCGGCAGCATGGGCGGCAGCTGTAGGGTCGAGACTCAGGGGTAGAGAGGTCAATCGGAGATCATCTGATGTGGCAAAGGGCCGGAGTGCTCTAAGGTATTCCTCTGGGACAGCGCCCGAGGGAACCAGAGGATGCATCTGCCCAGGCAAACTGAAGAAGCATGACCCAGTATTATGTGTCACATTGGCTTTTTTAATATACACTTAAACTAAAAATACCTCATGTGGCTTCAAAAGTGTTTAAAATCAAATATAGTGTTACTTTGCTCTCATGGAAATATAGTGCAACTTACTTAAGGCTCTGTATTCTGGGGTCTTGCATGATGGAGCTGGGGGTTAGTCCAAAGGGGTGAGCTAGAGGGTGAGATGAAGGGATGGGTGGAGTCCTCTTATCCTGCAGTGGCTGGGTGTTCTCAGCACCCACCCTCTCCCTGAGTCCCTGAATACCCGTCTCAACCTGACAGAGAGGTAGGCAGGCAGCATGAGAGCAGACATTACTACATATATCTATGGGGTATGAATGTGTGGTAGATCGAGTAGGAAAAATAGTTCAGGAAAAGAGGAAAAGAACATGAGAAGGGGCGACTGGGTAAAACCTCCCCGAGCTGCACCCAGAGGCTCAGTGGAGTGGAAAAGTGGGTCTGATCTGTCATGACAGGTCAAGATCAAAATGGAAAGATGATCCTAATATCTGGCCAACTGTTCTCTATTTTATTGTTCTCTCACTCTCTAAGAGCTTCCCACTCAGCAGATTTGGTCACCACACCACAACACACAACCCTCCAGCACCACCATGACAAAAGCAGCGATGGGGAAAAAAGGATGTTTCTCAAACTGCATATAAATATACAGTAAATAGTGACACAGTTGGCAAAGATGCATGTGACTGTGTCCTGGGTTTAGATCTGTTCCAGTCTGCTTAATATGTGTCATGTGTCATCATCCTACCTTCTCTCAGCTGACGGTAATGTTAAATAAGACTGCAGCCACACTAGCAGCTCTGTGGGCACAACGGGGCTTTGCTAATATACTCACAATGACAATGTTAACATGCTGATGCTAGCCGGTTTAATATTAACTGCTTTCATCATCTTAGTTCAACATGTCAGCATGCTAACGTTTACTAATTATCATTAAACACAAGGTACAGCGGAGACTGATGGGAACATCACTTTTTTGAAGGTTTGGTTCATAAACCAATGTGTGATAGGGTTGCATAAAAAGTCAAGGGATCACCAAACTTAATAGAATCCATGGTGGGTATGTAGGGACAATGTCATGCACAATCACAATGTCAGTCCAATGGGAATGAAGATTGGAAGGTAGCTGTTACCTTGGTAAGGACAGTGAGTGGTGCAGGTAGGCAGGATGATAGTGGGCAGCAGCAGCAGCAGCGGCAGCATGGGCGGCAGCTGTAGGGTCGAGACTCAGGGGTAGAGAGGTCAATCGGAGATCATCTGATGTGGCAAAGGGCCGGAGTGCTCTAAGGTATTCCTCTGGGACAGCGCCCGAGGGAACCAGAGGATGCATCTGCCCAGGCAAACTGAAGAAGCATGACCCAGTATTATGTGTCACATTGGCTTTTTTAATATACACTTAAACTAAAAATACCTCATGTGGCTTCAAAAGTGTTTAAAATCAAATATAGTGTTACTTTGCTCTCATGGAAATATAGTGCAACTTACTTAAGGCTCTGTATTCTGGGGTCTTGCATGATGGAGCTGGGGGTTAGTCCAAAGGGGTGAGCTAGAGGGTGAGATGAAGGGATGGGTGGAGTCCTCTTATCCTGCAGTGGCTGGGTGTTCTCAGCACCCACCCTCTCCCTGAGTCCCTGAATACCCGTCTCAACCTGACAGAGAGGTAGGCAGGCAGCATGAGAGCAGACATTACTACATATATCTATGGGGTATGAATGTGTGGTAGATCGAGTAGGAAAAATAGTTCAGGAAAAGAGGAAAAGAACATGAGAAGGGGCGACTGGGTAAAACCTCCCCGAGCTGCACCCAGAGGCTCAGTGGAGTGGAAAAGTGGGTCTGATCTGTCATGACAGGTCAAGATCAAAATGGAAAGATGATCCTAATATCTGGCCAACTGTTCTCTATTTTATTGTTCTCTCACTCTCTAAGAGCTTCCCACTCAGCAGATTTGGTCACCACACCACAACACACAACCCTCCAGCACCACCATGACAAAAGCAGCGATGGGGAAAAAAGGATGTTTCTCAAACTGCATATAAATATACAGTAAATAGTGACACAGTTGGCAAAGATGCATGTGACTGTGTCCTGGGTTTAGATCTGTTCCAGTCTGCTTAATATGTGTCATGTGTCATCATCCTACCTTCTCTCAGCTGACGGTAATGTTAAATAAGACTGCAGCCACACTAGCAGCTCTGTGGTCACAACGGGGCTTTGCTAATATACTCACAATGACAATGTTAACATGCTGATGCTAGCCGGTTTAATATTAACTGCTTTCATCATCTTAGTTCAACATGTCAGCATGCTAACGTTTACTAATTATCATTAAACACAAGGTACAGCGGAGACTGATGGGAACATCACTTTTTTGAAGGTTTGGTTCATAAACCAATGTGTGATAGGGTTGCATAAAAAGTCAAGGGATCACCAAACTTAATAGAATCCATGGTGGGTATGTAGGGACAATGTCATGCACAATCACACTGCTAGCATGACTATAGAGAGTGTGAAGTTGATGTCACACCATGTTGACTTTTGGGTAAATGCGCCCTGTGTCATAGAGATATACACAAGTTATCCATTCTGAATTACCACAGTTAGTGAAGTGAGATCTAAAAGATATAAGCACTGTTTCAGCCAAATAAAACAAAAATGTACACAGGCCAAAACATTGGGTAGCTCCAAACGTGGTGTCCCAACATTCAACCTTCACATTCTCTATAAATTCAGCATCGTCTTTTGTCTTTTGTCTAACACTGGTAAAAAGACAACACAGCAGAGACAATCTCTGTGGACACAGATTTTTTTCCAGTGTTAAATAAGAAATAGCTGCCAAGAAACCTTGGACTACACCTTGCTAATGAGAAGAAGACAGATTTCCATTAATGTCTCAAATGGTGTTGCCACAGCAACGGGCAATAATACAGGTCAGACAGACCACAAACAAATGACCTCCAGGAGCAACACCTGATCTGCTACCTTAGTTTTGTACAACACTTGACTTGCAGTGCAATGCCTGTGCTTTGAATATGTTTGAATAGTTTTGAATGTGTCACTCATGGAAAGCAAATTCAAACCAGTGATGCACCATTTCTCTGTCTACACTGGTTCAAAATGAGAAGGAGAGGCAACACACACACATAGTCTGGAGAGCAGTCAACACATTCCTTGACTTGTGACCCTGCAGACAGCCAACAGCCTTCACAGAAAGAGCAACAAAAACACACAAACACTTGTTTCTTTTGCTTATATCATCCTGTGCTCTATTTGTTCCTGTTCTAGGACATGCTGCATCCTGAAATGACAAACACTGAATTTACGCAAAGCTTTAAAGCCCTCACTCACCTCTGTTACTTTCGTGCTCATTTTCCTTTCCCTTCCCTCCTTTTTTAACATCGTATTCTATATTTCCCTGCCTCCCTCCCTCCTTCATTCTCTCTGAATGTCTGAATGGGAGCCCCAGGCAGGCAGAGCCACAGAGTGGTCTTTGTGAAGAGGGAGAAAGGCAGCTCTGATCCAGGGGGAAGTGGCTACTGTGGGGGCTAACCCTTGCATTGTGTGAGGGGCCTGGTTCCTTGCCCCAGCTTAAATTCACTCACACATCCACAGACATGTACACACACAGGTCCCTCTTCACATACTAAGCCTATTTAGTGAAGGGTCAAGTACACACACCCTCACACGTACACACATGTACACACACCCACGCAGATGCACGCAAGCACTGCAGGAAGCTGAACACAATAGGTGCCAGTCCTTGCAGCCTCCAGTGTTTCTTTATAAACCCGTCATGTGTTGTTGAAAAAGATATGGAGTGATTAGCCAGAGGAAGAGGGGGCAAGGCAAAGGGGTGAATGCATGGACACGAAAGGATGAGACAAGACAGAGAAAAACAAAGAAAGAGACGGCTGAATTTGACAATCTGATGTTGACAAGCACTGGGATTATTTCTTTAATGGTGGGAGCAGCTAAAAGAGACAGACAATTCATCTGTGGTGACAGAAAGCACTAGAGAGAGACAGAGATGAGAAACCAGCAAGACATCGGAACAAAAAGTACAGGACAGCAGATGTCTTGTCTCAAACTTGTACGGAATACCAGCAGGTATGATGGCTGGATAAACGTAATCTCTTACCTGTCGTCCTTCGGCCCTCCACAGGCCGTTGCTGGTCTTGGTGGGAGCAATAGTGACTACTGGAGGGGTGCTGGGGATACCGTGGCCCCTTGTCTGGCCCAGGAGGGGCCCTAATGAGCCCCGCTTAGGGGTGGAGACCGGCGAGCTGTGACTAGTGGCCGGAGAAGAGACTGGAGACGACTCACCGCTGAGAACAGAACCTGAGGAGGGGAGAGAAGGGAGGGTTGAGTGGCAGCAGCAGAGTCAGGAATAAACTGCAGATATCAGATGGCTAAAATAATTTCAGGAACAAACAATCCTCCTTTGAAAAAAATACACCAGCTACACAAAAAAACTTTTTTTTGTCAGTGAGTTGTTCGGTGAAAAAGTAAACAGTGATTCAATCTTTGAAATGATGAAAATCTTTCTGGTGAAATATGACAGAAATGAAGCAAAATGTAAAAAGATGCAGGAGGTAGAAAGGGGTACAAGATGGACATGTGTGTGTGTGTGACAGTTATCTGTGATAAAAAAAAGTCAAAAATCACAATCAGAGAGAGGATGTCATAAATGAAGATGTTGAAAAAGAGGCTGGGGTGTGACACTACAAAGAGGAGATGTTAAATGTGATAAACAGAAAGTGTGTGTGTGTGTGTGTGTGTGTGTGTTAACATTCGATCCACTACTACTATCCTACTGTAAGCCTAACTCATGAAACACAAACATAGTCAGAAACAGTAAGAAGGAGGAACTAAAAAGATGGAGAGAAGGTAGGAATGAATGAGCTCATAGAGAGCCATAGATGGAAAAAGAGCAGCAGGAAGAGAGCAAGAGGGGGGAGAAAATGAGATGGTGGGGGAGGGGGGCGGCTTGTTGTAATTGGCTGTAATTAGATTCTCATTATTAGGAGATGAATGGAAATGGATGAAGGAAGAGACAGAGAGGGAGAGGTCAGAATAGGTCAGCTCTTATCCAACACCTTCATTAGGACACCAGTGAGCTGAGCACAGACATACACAACCAAGAACACAGTTACTGGGACTGTGTTGCGCTACCACTCTCATATCTGTATGGTAAATATGAAGCTACTGCCAGAAGCAGTTTAGCATTAAGACTGGAAAGAAAGGCAAACAGAGCGCACAACCAGCCCAGCCAGTACCTCTTAACTACCATGTTATATCTTCTCCATATAAAAAAGAAATGTGTGTATTTCTAAAATGTTGAACTATTCCTTTAATTTCATTTTCATAGCTCATGTCTTTGGTTTAGAGGTGACAGAAACAATGAAAAGGTGCAGATACAGTATATTCAAAAATGCTGAACAAACCTGACAGCAGAGGTAGAGCTGGCTGTTTTTGGGTGTGACCAACAAAGAAGAGGCTAATGTATGTGTGTGTGTGTGTGTGTGTGTGTGGGTGTGTTTTTGCTCTCCAGGGCCTGAAGTCCTTGGAGCTCTGGGTTCTTAAGGTTACCTCTGGGATCCTCGGCCTGTTTGGCCAGTTTACGCAGGGCAGCAGCAAATCCGGAGTTTGCAGACTGGGCAGCTGCGTTCCCATTGGTTAGTGGGCTGAGGGGACTGACAGTAGCCGTGGAGATCATTCCTAATGATGATGACTTATTGGACTCATGGTTCATACCTGAGGAGGAGAGTGGGAAGAAAGATTTGAGTAGCATTGTTATTTGATGTCTCTAAATAAACTTGAACAGTCCAGTGTTTGTGAAGGTGTACAACGCCTTTGTCAAAAGAGGGCTTTGATAAGCACGAAGAAAACAAAGCTTTGGATCATGTTGTAAGAAAAAGCTTCAGTTTTCTTGAGTGAATGAAACTCATCATACACAAGTGCTCAGGAAATGGACAAGTGTGTGTGTTTGTGTGTGAATGGTCCTGCCTTTGTGTGAACATCGTAGTGAGTATATACACGTAGGTCAACTCCGCTAGAGACAAAGTGGAGGGAGTTGTGCCACATAGAGCGCTGACCCTAATAGCAAATCACACACACATGGGTGCACACTTGTCCATTTCCTCAAGAGAGTCAGCCAACACATCTTAAGACCTCAGGAGCATCTGCACACAAACATTAATTAGGTCTCAATGCATTTTTTACACCCGCACAGATGCAAGTATGTACACACACACAGATAACTGGCATCAGCATACAAACAGTGGACAAACCTCGGGTAACCTTTGCTCCACCCTGTACCCTTTTCCTGACCCACTAATGTTAATTACAGCTGGAATTAGGCACCCCACCCCCACCCGCTTCAGCAATGGCCTCATTACCACCACTACAAACACACACCACCTCCTCACACACTGCACACACACCGTACCATGTGATGAGCAAACTAGCACTGCACACTGAATGCTCACCACATAGATGATTTTGAAAAAAGTGAACAAAGCATGTTCAGAGTTGTTAAGTGAAAGTGTCTCACATCTACATGTGTCAGATTAGATGTTTATGTTCGATCTGCCAGGCTTCACACACGTGAGCGCCAACGTGCAGAGGAAGATGCAGCTTTCAGGAAAACACAGTAGGGAAGACAGAATGAACAAACCTTAGGCGTGTAAGTGAACATTAAGTAGAGGCTGACATAAACCATCAGAGAACCGTGTCTGTAACCACTGATAACCTACATGCATTTCCTCTGCACATGCCCAAAATACACAACTAACCATTACATGGCCATATTATCAAAGTTTTGAAAAAGCTATTCCAGGTACCAGGACCCCAGCAGCTGATGAAAAGCGTCTGTTACCAGCTACTACAAACCTGTCACCCTACATCTATCTGCACTGAAGGAACATATATATATGGTATATAAGACACATCATAAGTACAAGTAACATGTATGCAGCTTCTGACATGACTGTATTTGTACATCAGAAGACAAATATATGTTACACAGCAGTTTTTCCTATTACATACATATTCCTTTCCTTTATTTCTCTGGCTTCACTTACACATTTACATGTCCTGTCAGTAAA